TGTCCATCATTCCATCGATATTTTCATAACACATAGACGTACCTAGTTTGTGTCATGTGTAGCTCCAGCATATCTCCTTCAATGTTTTTATACGACCACAAAAATTTTAGCGGTCTTATATTGGTATGACGTTGGCGTCGTCGTCCAAAGACACATTGGTTTTCGCACTCTAACTTTAGTTTAGGTGAATTGATCTCTTTGAAATTTTACCATAAGGTTAAATACCACAAAAGGAAGGTTGGGATTGATTTTGGGGGTTATGGTACCAAAAGTTAAGGAATTAGGGGCCAAAAAGGGGCCAAAAATAAGCATTTTCTAGTTTCGAGACAATGACTTTGGAACAGTGTATAGATATCTCTTAAATTATACTACAAGTTTCCATACCACAAAGGGATTGTTAGGATTTGCTTTGGGGGGTTATGGCTCAAACCGTTTAGGAATTAAGGGCAAAAAAGGGGGAAAAACAAGGTTGTCCTGGTTAATGGACAAATACTTTAGTACAAAACATAATTTAAAGCAGTGTAAGGGAGATAAATCAAATACATCATTGAAATTACCTCCCTTACACTGCTTTTAAATTATGTATAAAGTAATGGTTAATGAACAATTAAGGTAATTTAAAACAGTGTAAGGGAGGTAATCCAAATACAACGTTTTGGTTACTTCCCTTACACTGCTTTTAAATTATGTTTAAAGAAATGCATATTTATAAAGGAAGATCAGTAAAAATATCTGCAAATGTTGCATCTTTTTTTTTTACAAAAAATCCATATGAAAGATTTGACACTATATTTTAAATTCTATTATAAAACAGATTAAGTTAGCACTATGGTAAATTTAAATGGGTAATTATGGTTGCAAACTCCATTGGAAATTTGAATTGAGATTATGACCATATCTTGAGGGAAAGATTTTTTTGGGGGAAAAAAAGGGAGGGGGGTAAAAAGAAATTGTGGGGGGTCAATTTTTTCTCATTTCAGATTTCAGAAATTGAAAAGAATTATTCTTCAAATATTATTTTTTTTCAAATTTCAAATATTGAAAAATTTCGAAGAAGTAATCTTTAATTGCACAGTATGGCGCATTAGATTTGTAAAATCTTTGACCACATTTATTTATTTGTTATGCCGAATCTAACCGTGTATTTAGATTTTTAATTTTGGGTCCAGTTTTCAAATTGGTCTACATTAAGGTCCAAAGGGTCCAAAATTAAACTTTGTTTGATTTTAACAAAAATTGAATATATATGGGGTTCTTTGATATGCTGAATCTAAACATGTATTTAGATTTTTGATTTTTGGCCCAGTTTTCAAGTTGGTCCAAATTGGGGTCCAAAATTAAACGTTGTTTGATTTCAACAAAAATTGAATATATGGGGTTCTTTGATATGCTGAATCTAACCATGTATTTAGATTTTTTATTTGTGGACCCCGCTATCAAATTGGTTCATATTGAGGTCAAAAGGGTCCAAAATTAAACTTCGTTTGATTTCATCAAAAATTGAATTATTGGGGTTCTTTGATATGCTGAATCTAAACATGTGTTTAGATTTTTAATTTTGGGTCCTGTTATTTAAATTGGTCTACATTAAGGTCCAAAGGGTCCAAAATTAAAATTAGTTTGATTTTAACAAAAATTGAATTCTTGGGATTCTTTGATATGCTGAATCTAAACATGTGTTTAGATTTTTGATTTTGGGCCCAGTTTTCAAGTTGGTCCAAGTTGGGGTCCAAAATTAAACTTTTTTTATTTCAACAAAAATTGAATATATGGGGTTCTTTGATATGCTGAATCTAACCATGTATTTAGATTTTTTTATTTGTGGGCCCCGCTATCAAATTGGTTCATATTGAGGTCAAAAGGGTCCTAAATTAAACTTTGTTTGAATTCATTCAAAAATTGAATTATTGGGGTTCTTTGATATGCCAAATCTAACTGTGTTTTTTAGATTTTTAATTTTTGGTCCTGTTTTTTAAATTGGTCTACATTAAGGTCCAAAGGGTCCAAAATTAAACTTAGTTTGATTTTAACAAAAATTGAATTCTTGGGATTCTTTGATATGCTGAATCTAAACATGTGTTTAGATTTTTGATTATGGGCCCAGTTTTCAAGTTTGTCCAAGTTGGGGTCCGAAATTAAACTTTGTTTGATTTCAACAAAAATTGAATATATGGGGTTCTTTGATATGCTGAATCTAACCATATATTTTGATTTTGGACATTGGACCATAATAGGTAAATTAAAAAAATTTCAAGTTCTTAGACCACATTCTTTCTGTGTCAGAAACCTATGCTGTGTCAAATATTTAATCACAATCCAAATTCAGAGCTGTATCAAGCTTGAATGTTGTGTCCATACTTGCCCCAACTGTTCAGGGTTCGACCTCTGCGGTCGTATCAAGCTGCGCCCAGCGAAGCATTTTATTTAAACTTTGCACAGTGATTGCACACAGATTGAAGATGTGCATCTCTTCTAATAGACAGATTTGAATTATTATTTCTCAGGTTTCCTGTGTGTTGAACATCATATTTTTATGCTCTCGCCGTAGTGGAGGGGGCATTAAGTTCTACCCTTGTCCATCTGAAGTCCATTCATATGTTCCAAAAATTGGTTTCTGTTCTCTAACTTAAGTTTGCCACAACCAAATATTACAAAACTTATATTCAATACTCGTTACAACAAAACACAGATCAAATTTGAATTTGGGTGGTGTCACTTTTACCGTTCTAGAGTTATGCCCTTTACAAATGAAAAAATCGCTGAATTTTTCATTTCCGTTCTCTAACTTAAGTTTGCCTCAACCAAATGTTATAAAACTTATACACAATGCTTATTACCACAAAACAAGATCAAGTTTAAATTAAGCTGACACCACTTTTACATTTCTAGAGTTATGCCCTTTTACAAATAGAAATATTGCTGAATTTTCATTTCCGTTCTTTTACTTAAGTTTGCCTCAACCAAATGTTATAAATCTTATACACAATGCTTATTACCACAAAACTTAGATCAAGTACGAATTTGGTAGCGTCACTTTTACCGCTCTTGAGTTATGTTCCTTTACAACATTATATGTAAGCAAGGGCATCATCTGTTTCCCATGGACACATTCTCCATTTTTTGTCGTATAATGCAATAATAAAGATTTATTTCTGTTATATCACATCTGATAAAGTGGGAAACAATTAGCAACAATTTCTACACTGTATCACTATTTTCCATTGGTTCACATTTTGGTATTTCAAACTTTATGTCCATTCTTTTTTTATCTGGTTTCAGAGTTATTTGTTGCAGTTAACCTATTAAATTCTGTTCTATAAATAGTATTTCCATGTTGTCACTTTTTGTCAACTTCTGAGTATTGACTTTGACTGTCAAGATGACCAAAACTGTCCAAGTATATAATCTTTTATGATTAAAAGACGACGTTTTGTATATACCAATGAGACAGCAACCTAAGAACAAAAATAAACAAAATACATAAAGTTGGTGTCATACAGTCTTCACCAATATGTGTCAAGCTCTAAATTGTCCTGAGTCTATAAAAGAAGTGAATAAATTTAATAGAATCAAAGAATTGCCAGCAAAATTTATTTTCTAATTAAAGAAAATGACCAGCATTAAGATTTGATATGCAACAACTATTGACAGTGTTAGTAGTTGTATCACTATGTCCAGAGATTTTGCCAGCGTTCATCTTCTTTTTTTTGTCGGAAATGACAAAAGTTTTTCTGATTAATTTCCTCACTTAAATTGGTAAATGTAATAAAATAAATTGTACGTAATTTAACTGGCAACAAGTTTATGAGAATTTTCCGAGCCCAAGCTTATCAACAGTCATCACATGTGTTATAATTTGTTGTTACAGGTAATCCGCTTATCTGATGGGTCATTAATGATCATCAAAATTTATTCATACAAATAGAATCGGTCAGTCAGCATTTGTCATTTCTAATTCAAGAAATTTTTCATATGACCACAAAATTTGAAACGTTTACTGTAGTTAAATGATGAAAACTTGATAGACAGAAAGACGAAAAATGTAATGAATTTATTAAAATATAATATTGTTTAACTTGATACCTGTTAAAAATGTTAAATTCACACGAAGTAAAGAGGGTCTTGGTAGGGGGTTGGTGTAGGGAGCTTAGGTCATCATTTTCTGTATTTTCCATTTTTTATACAAATTTTCTCTATTCTGTATATTTCAGCACCCATTATTCTCTCATCTTCATTTTTTGACCATTTTTCTCTGTTCTTAGTTTTAAACATTTTCTTTATTCTATAAAGTCAACATTATACACTACTTTACAAAAATCACCTTCAGATTGGCAGGAATTACAAATAAAGTCTATTAACTATAGCATATACAAACCATAAGCTAGATATAATGACGGGAACATTGACCAATAGAATCATTGTATATTAGTCACATTAGTCCCTGTTTTGAGATATAACAATCAAAACGAAAACAATATGTATCTTTTAAAGAAAAACAGCTGTTTTGTTTCAATCTCTTTTGTTATATTTTTATTTGTTTACTAATAAAATGCTGAAAAAGAAAATGAAAGAATACATGTTTTTTCATCTATTTTACCCTTGGCAATAACTACCTTAGTCATAACATGTGAAGCTGTTACCCAATAATGGACGTTTTTTTTATCACAAAAACAATTAATCCTAATTGAAACCCCTCTATGTCATAATCTAAATGTTAGTCTGATTTTATATTCTAGTGCCAAACAAATCCACTGACTATCCACATTGGGTGGCATGATCAGATTTAGAAATCGGACAAAATTTCATGAAAACTAGACGACTTTATTTGTAATTCCTGCCGATCTGAAGCTGATTTTTGGTATAGTAGTGTATAATGTTGACTTACGGTTTTTGTTCCGGTTTTCCATCTTTTGACGAATTACAGCTGACCTTTTTGTGACAAATCTACTTATTGTCTGGGTCAGCCTATGTCAAATTTCTATAACTTGTTTACATTTTAGATGCAGATAACGAATACCGGGTCCTTGATCCGGAAGCTGTAAAAAGGGAAGCAGAGTTAAGTGCATTATATGCCACACCCAATAAAGATCGTAAAAGACAGGTAATATATCAAATGTCTTCTAAAGTTTGATAGTATTCTGCTAAAAATAATTTATTTGTAAATCTTTGCTTCTTCAATACTGGCTTTAGTGTATGATTGATTGCAATGCTTTTTTAGCTGAGAGATGGAGTATATATTGTAATCCTACTCTTTTAAGCTTTCATGAATTGTTTTATTTTTTTGGTGCATTTTATCAAATAAAAATTTTGCATGACTTTAGATTAGATTTTTATAAATGTAAGTTATGTTGTAACATTTTAGTCGCAGACAGTTAATGGGCAGCAATCATTACAACACACAGGGCAGAGAGTTAGAGCTGAGATGAAACGCTACCATGACATGGAACAAGAAGATACTGATAATGAAGTAGAAGATATCGTAAGTTAGGAGGAAGGGATCAAATCACTGTTATCTTGACCAAAAAAATATGTCAATTTCATACTCTTACAATGATATTCTCTAAAATCAAAATGGGGCTACATTAAGGGGTTCTAAGAAGTTTTTTCATAGTTCAGGAATACAATATGTTTTTAATTGTCTCTATGCATTTAGTTATGATTGTATATTGTTTTATGCCCATCCCGAACCTTGATATGAAAATAACATTCTCATCCCATTCTTAATCTACTTTTATCCTTTCATCCAACAAACTGAGTGTAGCATTTCATTTACCCATCTGATTTAAGTTCTGCATGAAGAGATCCAGATCTAAGCAAATACAATTTATAGAAGAATGATCTTTGTCTGTTTATACATTATGTACTGAGTAAAAAAAGTTTAGCAACATATATTTTAATAATACTTACAAAGTTGCAAGAAAAAAAATCATTAATTAAGAATGGCATCTTATGGGCATTGTCTTGGACAAGTTCAAAAATCAGTGCCGATCAACAGTTTTTTTTGAGCCTTCGACTTTTGTTGAAAAAGCGAGACATAGCGATCCTACATTCTGTCGGTGTCGGCGTCGTCCACAAATATTCACTCTGTGGTTAAAGTTTTTGAAATTTTAATAACTTTCTTAAACTATCCTGGATTTCTACCAAACTTGGAAAGAAGCTTGTTTATGATCATAAGATAGTATCCAGAAGTAAATTTTGTAAAAAAAAAAATCCATTTTTTCCGTATTTTACTTATAAATGGACTTAGTTTTTCTGCCAGTTAACATTACATTCACTCTGTGGTTAAAGTTTTTAAAATTTTAACAACTTTCTTAAACTATCCTGGATTTGTACCACACTTGGACAGAAGCTTGTTTATGATCAAAAGCTAGTATCTAGAAGGAAATTTTGATAAAATTTTGTTCCATTTTTTCCGTATTTTACTTATAAATGGACTTAGTTTTTCTTCCAGTCAACATTACATACAGTCTGCAGTTTAAGTTTTTAAAACATTTATTAGATTCATAAATTATCCTGGATTTTTAAACGCCTGTTTACGGGACGTATTATGTTATACCTCTGTCCGTCCGTCGTCAACATGTCGGACATTAACTCAAGCACGCTTTAACCAATTTGCATAAAACTTTGGTGAATTGTTTATATCTATTGACGTGAGCTCCCTTTCGTTTTTTATAAATTTTAGATTTTACGTTTCCGAGTTATGGGGTTTTATTCATTAAAAAAAGGGGGATTTTCCAGTTTTCGGACAATAACTCAAGAATGCTTTCACCAACTTGCAAGAAATTGTGGTGAATTGTTTATATGTATTAACATGAGCTCCCTTTTGATTATTATATATTTTAGATTTTATGTTTCCGAGTTACAGGGTTTTATTCATAAAAAAGGGGGATTTTCCAGTTTTCTGACAAAAAATCAAAAATGCTTTCAGCAGTTCTTATGAAACTTTGGTGAATTGTTTATATCTATTGATGTAAGCTCCATTTAGAATTTTATAAATTTTACATTTTACATTTCTAAGTTGTGGGGTTTTATTCATTAAAAAAGAGACGATTTTCCAGTTTTCGAACAATAACTCAAAAATGCTGTCAGCAATTCTCATGAAACTTTGGTGAATTGTTTATATCTATTGATGTAAGCTCCCTTTACATTTTCATAAATTTCTAATATATGACATTGAGAATTAATTGAACTTTAATTGTTTATAATCTGACAACAGATTTACTAAGTATTGCGCAACAGCACAGTGTATTGCACAACAGCAAGAAATCTTTAATTGAAAATAAATTCAATTCATATAACCAATTTCAAGTTCCTTGACTACATTTATTCAGAAACCTATAATATGTCAAATATTTAATACAATCCAAATTCAGACCTGTATCAAGCTTGAATATTGTGTCCATTGTTGCCCCAACTGTTCAGGGTTGGACCTCTGTGGGCGTATCCAGCTGCGCTCAACGAAGCAGTTTATTACCAAACTTGGACAGAAACTACTTACAATCAAAAGATAGTATAGAGAGGAATATTTTTATTAATTTTTTTCCTCATTTTTGTTGAGCCTGCAATTAACAGCAAAAGTAGGCGAGACACTGGGTTCTAGGAAACCCTTACGAATTTTTTAAAAGAGTAATGCCACTTGGAAAGATTAATAATATGTAAAATTGCATTGTAAGTGCTCTCACGTGAACAGTTTTGTCAGATTTTATATAAATCATATCAAAGGTTTTTATTAGCAATGTCTTGAATAATTTTGAAAATCAGTGTCGATTCCAATATTTTTATGCCCAACTACGATAGTAGTAGGGGCATTATGTTTTTGGTCTGTACGTCCGTTCGTCTGTCCATCCATCTGTCCCGCTTCAGGTTTAAGTTTTTGGTCAAGGTAGTTTTTGATGAAGTTGAAGTCCAATCAACTTGAAACTTAGTACACACGTTCCCTTTGATATGATCTTTCTAATTTTAATGCCAAATTAGAGTTTTGACCCCAATTTCACGGTCCACTGAACATAGAAAATGATAGTGCGAGTGGGGCATCCGTGTACTATGGACACATTCTTGTTGAAACATGATATTTAAGATATTTGTTGCTAAACTTTTTTAGCTCACCTGGCCCAAAGGGCCAAGTGAGCTTTTCTCATCACTTGGCGTCCAGCGTCCGGCGTCGTCATCGTCTTCCGTCGTCGTTAACTTTTACAAAAATCTTCTCCTCTGAAACTACTTGGCCAAATTAAAACAAACTTTGCCACAATCATCATTGGGGGTATCTAGTTTAAAAAATGTGTCCGGTGACCCAGCCAACCAACCAAAATGGCCGCCATCGCTAAAAATAGAACATAGGGGTAAAATGTAGATTTTGGCTTATATCTCTGAAACCAAAGCATTTAGAGCAAATCTGACAGGATAAAATTGTTTATCAGGTCAAGATCTATCTGCCCTGAAATTTTCAGATGAATCTGTCAACCCGTTGTTGGGTTGCTGCCCCTGAATTGGTAATTTTAAGGAAATTTTGCCGTTTTTGGTTATTATCTTGAATATTATTATAGATAGAGATAAACTGTACACAGCAATAATGTTCAGCAAAGTAAGATCTACAAATAAGTCAACTTGACCAAAATGGTCAGTTGACCCCTTAAGGAGTTATTGCCCTTTATAGTAAATTTTTAACCATTTTTCGTAAATTTTTGTAATCTTTTACAAAAATCTTCTCCTCTGAAACTACTTAGACAAATTTAACCAAACTTGTCCACAATCATCATTAGGGTATCTAGTTTAAAAAATGTGTCCGATGACCCCTCCCAAGAAACAAGATGGCGGACATGGCTAAAAAATAGTACATAGAGAAAAAGGCAGTTTTTGGCTCATATCTCTGAAACCAAAGCCTTAAGAGCAAATCTGACAAGGATAAAATTGTTCATTAGGTCAAGATCTAACTTCCCTGAAATTTTCAGACCAATCAGGCAACACGTTGTTGGGTTGCTGCCCCTGAATTGGTAATTTTAAGAAAATTTTGCAGCTTTTGGTTATTATCTTGAATATTATTATAGATAGAGATAAACTGTAAACAGCAATAATGTACAGCAAAGTAAGATCTACAAATAAGTCACCACGACCAAAATTATCAATTGACCCCTTAAGGAGTTATTGCCCTTTATAGTCAATTTTTTACAATTTTCATAAATTTTGTAAATTTTTGTAAATTTTTACAAAATATTTTCCACTGTAACTACTGGGCCAAGTTCATTATAGATAGAGATAATTGTAAGCAGCAAGAATGTTCAGTAAAGTAAGATCTACAAACACATCACCATCACCAAAACACAATTTTGTCATGAATCCATCTGTGTCCTTTGTTTAATATGCACATAGACCAAGGTGAGCGACACAGGCTCTTTAGAGCCTCTAGTTTACTTGGTATATTTAGTTATTTTAAACATGAATGAAGGGCTTTGGTTAAGTTTTGTGTTAAGGTTCGACTACATATTAAAATAATTTTTTATCAGTTGATGCATAGTATGTAGTGATGAAGGAATGTACACACATTAGTTCACCCTGACCCATAAATGAGATTAACAATTTTGTTTTAACAATAACGAGCATGAAGGTTAGCACTTATTTACAAGGCTCCATTTCCCTCTATGTCAAATTAGGGTTTGGACCCATATTTTGCAGTTCACAACATATTGAAATGTGATACATGTAGTGCCAGTGGGGCTTGCAGGGGTCACCACACTTCAGAATTTTAGGGAGAAGTGACTTCTCCCTGGCAGCCAAAAGGGAGAAGTGAAGACCCAACAGGGATACTTCAGGGAGAAATGAAGGATCGAATTAATACTTTTTATGAATTAAATTTCCCAGTATCTATACCGTCTTGTAAATTTAAAGAATCTTTTGCTTGACAACTGTTAAAATGTTGATTGCCATGCCTTGTGGTCTGAATGAATTGATGAAAGAATTGAAAAATAATACAGTGATCAAATTTTGCTGCATCTCAAAGCCTTTTTCAAAACAGTCTGCATGGTTTTGCCCAAGATTATGCTGAAAGGACACATATTATTGTTCTTGATTCTGATTTTCTAAAAAATCAAAGGTGTAGGTTTGATACGTTTCTCAAATGGCCCCTACTTCTAGTTGAAGTTTCAAATTAGGATTTATTGACCAATATCACAATGAATCATACTAAAACAATGACTAGATAGGCAATATGTCTATTTTTTTTAAATTTACATATTAGTATTCTTTTCATGATGTCAAAAATAGCACAAATTTAGATTTTTCATGAAAATTCAACGAAAACCGGTCAATTTCCATCCATTTTTAGACTGGATAAATAGAGCGCATGCATCAACAAAAAGGATCTTTAACATAATGATTGTTATAAGATTTAAAATATCTGACTTAAATATTTAGTTTGTTGAAGCCTGTGTTCTATGTTTCCTAGGCCTTAAATTGATTGAATTCCAGCTGATTTTGTCAAATTTCACAAAAATCTCTACTTTTGGCCAATTTTGGTACAAAATGTAGTAAATTTTAACACTTTTTAAAAAGAGCTGTACAAAAATAGTTCTATTTAACTTTCTTGCGTTGTCTTTTCATCAACTTCAATCATTTTTTATCTCGAAACAATTGACTTGATAATAGGGGCCAAATATGGCCTTTTTTAACTTACTCCTTTAAGAGAATGGGTATTTTGCAGTTTTATCTTAATCACAAAATTATGGAAAATAAACCCCTTATGAAGATATCCCACTTTACAGAACTAGTTGAATTATCCAAAGGAAATAATTAACTTTTGATTTAATTATTAGATATAATTCTATAATATTATTCATGTATCATTGCACTTATACACTACATATTCATGGCTTTAAGTGAAATGAAAACACTGTTTTATAGGAAAATTCAGTTGGGGTAGGTCTTAGTTTTGTTGAACCTGCTTGCACTTTTGATCAGTTATGAATTGTGTACCCTGTTTCACTATATAGAATTACAAATATATTAATAACATATCCATACTCTCATTGAAAATGTACACATGTGAACCATTACTTTGAATTTTGTTCACTATTTTTTGCATGAAGAATATGATACACAATTAAAGGTGTATTGGATTATCTGTTATCACACTTTACGTTGAGGTATAAGTATAATAATATTAAAGGTACCGATTTTCTGCACCAGATGTGCATTTTGACAATTAATGTCTCTTCAGTGATGCTCGAGGCCAAAGCATGTAAATATACATTTTTCTCTTAAAATTGTACACCTGACCAAATCTTGTAAACATGACTTATAATTTGATGATTTAGACATTTATGTCCCTTAGTTACCTTAAAGTTTGGATTTTGTTTGTTTCCAGGTGATAATGAAAGTACTGTTTGACATAATCATTTTAGATTTTAACACAATGCTATGAAACATATAATTTAGAATTTGAATGTCTCCATGAAATTCATAAAGATTGTCAGGGTACTAAACCCTATTTTGTTTCAACAGTTTTAAACTTCAATTTTGTCTATTTTGATTCACAATTGAAAAATGAAAATGGAAGGATTTAATGAATTTTGAAATACTAAGTATGCAAATAAAAGTCTTGAGTAATTAAACCCTATTTGGTTTACAAACATAATCATTTTTCTGGTTTTTATACGCCCGTTTACGGGATGTATTATGGTATACCTCTGTCCTTCCGTCTGTCCGTCCGTCGTCAACATGTCGGACATTAACTCAAAAACGCTTTTACCAATTTGCATAAAACTTTGGTGAATTGTTTATATCTATTGACGTGAGCTCCCTTTTGTTTTTATAAATTTATGATTTCACGTTTACGAGTTAATAAAAAAGGGGGATTTTCCAGTTTTCAGACAAAAACTCAAAAATGCTTTCAGCAGTTCTTATGAAACTATGGTGAATTGTTTATATCTATTTAAGTAAGCTCCCTTTAGAATTTTATGAATTTTACATTTTACATTTCTGAGTTATGGGGTTTTATTCATTAAAAAAGGGGGGATTTTCCAGTTTTCGGACAATAACTCAAAAATGCTGTCAGTAATTCTCATGAAACTTTGGTGAATTGTTTATATCTATTGATGTAAGCTCCCTTTTGATTTTCATAAATTTCTAACATGACATTGAGAATAAATTGAACTTTATTTGTTTATAGTCAAACAACAGATTTACTCAGTATTGCGCAACAGCACAGTGTATTGCACAACAGCAAGAAATCTTTAATTGAATATAAATTCAATTCATATAACCAATTTCAAGTTCTTTGACTACATTTATTCAGAAACCTGTAATATGTCAAATATTTAATTATTTTTTTAATTCTTGACTTGTTGTCTATTTAAAGTTTAGTTTGTATTATATTATACCCTACATCAGCTCTCATCTTTATGTACTTCTTTTTGTGAAGGTATAATAATTGATGCATTTGCTTTGTAAGAATAAGGTGGGTTTTTTTCATATATACTTGTATATATATGTATGGCAACATTTTAGTTCTTTTCACAGATCTGTTAAAATGAATTAGAAAGGAATACTATTGATTTATTTATTTTGTGGGTACCAATACTCATGGTTGGAGAAAAAACTGTATTTTCTTGGGTATTTAAATTGGTTGTTTTGCTAAAGTCTGCACACAAAGCTATAGATTATTTTGTACTTTGTTGAGCATATTAATTTGTGGTATTCCTATGTCCATGAAATTCCTGAAAATTGGTATTTCACAAATATTAATGTATCCATAGTATTGAAAACATTTTGTTTAAAATTTCTTGTATTAATATATAAGTACCTGTATACAAATTTGATTTTCAGAGGAAAAACAACAAATTTTGCAATTGATATCAATTGATGTTTTTTGGTATTTTCCAAATCAATTTCAATTTTAATTTGAACTATACAACCTCTTTCCCCTTTTACTTTGGTGTAGATTTTATTTTTTAAATTATAGATCAAACAGGTTTTTGTATGATAATAATGTATAAACAGTTTTTAGTTTTAAAGTGTAATTTGTTTGATCATAGTAATATACAGTTTTCACGATAAACATTTGAATCTACAGGCCTGATGCTGAATTTTATGCGAATTTTAGTTGGGTTCTATTGGCCTGTAGAGATGATTTTTACAGGCCCCAACAGCATTTTACAAGCCTGGGTTGGTGGGCTTGTGGTTGAGTACGAAGACTGAATATACATAACTTTTTTTTAAATATGTGAAAAAAAAGAAGTAAATAAAAGGATGTTTTTGTTTACATACAAAGTACAAAGAAGACCTCCATTGCATCAAAGGGAAATTACTCTTGCTTTTTTTCAGATACCCAAAGTAACTGTGGAACGACAAACTACATCACCCCATAAAACTCCTAGTCAAAGATCAAAAAGAGGTAATTAATTCATATTTTTTCTCAGATATTTTTAAATCATTTAAAATTTTATATATGAGACATGTATATATCAGCATGCATTAACAAGTTCTGTTAGTCGATTTTTATTTTAGTTTTATACATGTTACGCATGTTTATTTGGGGGAAATTTCCTGGTTCTATAATTTCAATACTATAGTTGCCCATTTTATGTAGGATTATTGTAGAAAGCAATGAATAATTTATCAGGTACACAGATTCAAGTGACTTATACAAGAGCTTATATTAAATATGTCATATAATTTGCATGGATGGTGGGTAGGAGAAAAATGGAGTAACTTTTAAATCCCAAAATCCCATACACCTTAATCTGCTGTTCAGCTACATTACTTCTTCAGTTTTACAGGCTTAGTTTAATTTATTACAACAATCCATCCAACTTCTTATACAAAACTATGCATTGTTTTTATCTGATGCTATTTACTTAGAATAAGATATTAAAAAGGACTTTGCATTTAATTTCTTTTTTTATACTGATTAGTTTAACACATTTTTCTCCATGATGAAGTAATTCTTTAGAAATATAATTTTGGTACTTGGTATTCTGATTTCTTGTTATTCTTATTAAAGCATAATTTGAATCTATTTTTACACACCACTACTTAATTTACATTATCAGTTTAGTTTAGGTCTTATCATATTGTTTTAGTGTAAACAAGGAAATGTTATTTGAGAATAATTTAAAATTAATGACAGCGAAAGATTGTTAAAATAATTGAAAAACTTTTTTTGGTAAATAATGTCTAGTCTATTGAAAAATCAAAATCATCTTTTCCAAGGACTGTAAATTCATAAATGGATTAATTATTGCAAATATTTTAGAGGACACTTCCATTAGAGATTGATCAATGCAATTCCTGTACATTTTAAAATAGACGTTTACTGTCAAAAATTTAAATGTTGAATTAGATAATTTTGGTGCTCATTGTCAGCATTTTCTTGTCTTGAAAAGCATTGCATTAACCTTGATTTAAAATAATATAGAACGTTGTCTACATCATTTTTTCCTTGTATGCACTATGTATACCCTTCTGTTTCATTTTGCATGTATTTTATGTGAACTTCTTTAGATGAATCTCCTGTCCATCAGGAAAAGCCAATAGAAAAAGCAGTGGAGGTCAAACAGTCATCCATCAGAGCAGGTAGATATTGTTTGTGATGGAATCCGGTCATATCACAAAAGCACTATTTAAATATGAATGTGACATGATCACAAAAGTGGAAATTGTCTGACCACCAAAGCACAATGTTTGAATATATTAAAATGTGACTTGTTCTCACAAAAATGGGAATGGTCGGATCACAAAAGCACAATATTTAGATATAGATCTTACATTTTCACACACAAATTGAAATTGTTTGATCACAAAAGCATAATATTTAAATCTAGATGTGACTTGTTCACACAAAAATTGAAATTGTCTGACCACAAAAGTACAATGTTTGAATATATTTAAATGTGACTTGTTCACACGAAAATGGGAATGGTCTGATTAAATATAACTGATTTGTTCACACAAAAATTGAAATTGCAAAATCACAAAAGCATAATGACTAAATGCATACTACAATGAATTCTCTTTTTGATCATTTGATCCAGCAACCAGCAAAAATTATAGAGATGTGATCATACTAAAAACAGAAAACAAAAATTTTGTTTGTATTAATTTTTTCTAAGGAAATATAAAGGTATTTATAGAGCATACCATTTGATATAATATTGCACTATATTTTGTTAATTGTGCTTTTACTAGAATTTTGAATGCCAATAAACAGAAACAAAACAAAATTGATATACCTGTATGTGCATAATTTTCTGTAATTATATGTCTAGCTACTGTAAATTCAGAAATTATTGCAAGGTTTTTATTAATATGAAAAATGCGACTAGGTGAGTATCGCAATAATAAAACTCACATTCTGATAACTGATACATATATCTGTATTCAGATTTTTCTGAAATTGTAATAATTGAACTCACATTTTTGTCCTTTCTCGAAAAAATTGCAATAATAAATGCACACAATAATTTCTGAATTTACAGTATAATATAAATGTTCTAATGAAAAACAGTCATATCTTTCTACTTGATCTCTCTTTTATAACTTTGACATATTATACTACTTTCAGCAAACAATATTATGGAATTGTATGCAATATTGACCAATTTACAATTTGTGTTTTGTTACCCTTGGCAATTCATGTATCTTATTGCCTTTTTTATTTGGTCTATAATGTTAATTTAACCTGAGTCTTGTGAATTAAATCCCGTCTATTTTGTTATTAATTAGAAAATTTGCTATTGTTTTGCAGATGTTGAAAAAAAAAATTCTATCGCAGAAATATCTTAACATTATAAGAATTGTTGAATATAAAAAAGAAGATGTGGTATGATTGCCAATGAGACAACTCTCCACAAGAGACCAAATGACACAGAAATTAACAACTATAGGCCTTCAACAATGAGCAAAGCCCATACAGCACAGTCAGCTATAAAAGGCCCCGAAATGACAATGTAAAACAATTCAAACGAAAAAACTAACGGCCTAATTTATGTACAAAAAATGAACGAAAAACAAATATTTAACATATAAACAAACGACAACCACTGAATTACAGGCTCCTGACTTGGGACAGGCACATACATACAGAATGTGGCGGGGTTAAACATGTTAGCGGGATCCCAACCCTCCCCCTAACCTGGAACAGTGGTGTAACAGTACAACATAAGAACGAACTATAAAAATCAGTTGAAAGAGGCTTAACTCATCAGATGGATAAAAATACAAATATACAAATACAAGTGGACGTGGCCGGGTACTTGTACATCCAAACAACAAAAAGACACTAAGTACAGATCTGAGAGTACTCGCAGTTACTGACAGCTAGTTCAAAGCCACTAACAACTAATAAAAAAAATCATGCATCTAAGACTAAATTATCAATCCGTACACATCCAACATCCAAACCTATTAAAAACCCTTTGTTTTAACCTGACTCTTGTGACCTTGTCATTTGCTATAAAGGTGATGGTACCACCGTATCTGTTAGTAAGTAAATTTCAGTTTCTGCCAAAGATCTGAAGTTTACCCAGGGTATTCAAGTTTCCTTCACCAATAAAATTCTGTTCTTAACTGCCATGAAATTGCTCTAATTTACGGAAAGAGCCATTAAACGTCTTAAAAGGAAACAAGCAGATTTGTCACTTATGTTGATAAGAAATACTTTTTTATGGTAATAATTCAACATTTTTATTGTAGAATCTCCTGACAGAAGTCATAGATCTGGTGCTAACACAGCTCGAAGTGGTGCTAACACAGCGCGAAGTGGTGCTACAACAGCTAGGAGTCATGATTCTTTACAGCAAAGTCTGGAGGGAGAAAATTATATCCTGAGATCAAAAGCTGAACAACTAGAGTCAGAAGTTATATCACTGAAACATGTGACATCAGCTCTGGAACATGGTGGTAAGTTTACATACCCAGGGTCATTATATTGTATCATAGTGTGAAGGGCTGAACAACTAGAGTCAGAAGTTATATCACTGAAACATGTGACATCAGCTCTGGAACATGGTGGTAAGTTTACATACTCAGGGTCATTATATTGTATCATAGTGTGAAGAGAGATAATTCCTTCCTAAGATTGTGAGCAGATTGAGTTAAAAGTCCATGAAACATGTAGCATTGGTTTTTGAACATGACAATGTGTGGTTCTTGAACATGACAATGTGTATATTTAAACTTAGACATATAATCTTAGGACTAAATTTGATCTTAAGCTATTTTAAAATGCTCATGACTTATGAATATTTTTACTCATAAGATTTTTTTGGGGGAAAGGATTTGTATCCTTTGACTCAGATTTGGAACATGTCAGTATGTATGCTATAAGGCTCCGTGTTGAAGACCGTACTTTAACCTATAACGGTTTACTTTTACAAATTGTGACTTGGATGGAGAGTTGTCTCATTGGCACTTATACCACATCTTCTTATATCTATATAAAATCAGAATTTTTTGCTTATTGTCTTACCTGGACACAATTTTGAAGGTGAGAATAAGGGGTGCTGCTTCCGGCAGCAGCGCTCAACAATGTACTTGTTGTGATAAGGTCAGTTTAAGGGGAACCACTATTGGTTGGTCAATGAAATGATATGTGGTATACAGTTAGATTAGCATATGCATGTCTCATTTCCTTGGCAATTTTTATACGGGCCCGCCCCCTCAGTCATGGTTCATTGACTTTAAAACTCTTACATGTTAAAGTTTGTGTTTAGGTCAGTTCAAAGGGAACAACTTATGAAAGGTAGATAGCATTTGGTATGCAGTTTTATTAGCATTGGCATTTATCATTTCCATGTAGATTATTTGGGCCTTCACCTTCGGTGATGGTTCATTACATACTAGGGAGAAATATCTCTGTGTCAACAGTTTATATTTGTAGTTGTGATTGTTGATCTTTGGACAAAAATGTATGATTTCTGGGAATGCAGTTTACAATCACTGCCATTTGAATTTGAAATGCAAAATCTTATTATCTACACTAATCCTTGTGCAATATTTTGCAAAAATAATTTTTTAAAATTTAAATCCGAATTCACAATTATCATAATTCACAATTCATTCTGGATGTTAAAGAAATTTTTTTCAAACTTTACAGATCATGACACAGCAATGAATTTAATGTTAAAGAAACAGTTACAAGAAATGAAGGCAGAAAATGAAACCTTGAAGAACAGCATACACAGACTGACAGTAGAACTCAGTGCTTATCAGGCTAAATTTAGACCACTTTCTGCTGAAGAAAAGGTAATTAAATGTTACACCTATTAAAGTGTCTGCATGTGCTCTAAAAATAGGAGAAATTGTGAATTCATGGACAGATGTTAGAGTGAAATTATTAATATAATTGAGAATGGAAATGGGGAATGTGTCAAAGAGACAATAACCCAACCAAAGAGCAGAAAACAGCCGAAGGCCACCAATTGGTTTTCAACACAGCAAGAAAATCCCACATCCAGAGGCAGGCTTCAGCTGGCCCCTAAACAAAAATGTGTACTAGTTCAATGAAAATGGATGTCACACTAAACTCCAAAACATATAAATGAACTAAAATTAAAAAACATACAAGACTTACAAAGGCCAGAGGCTCCTGACTTAGGACATGCGCAAAAATGTGGCGGGGTTAAACATGTTTTGTGAGATCTCAACCCTCCCCCTATACCAATGTAGAATAAACAAACACACAGTAAAACTCAGTTTGAAAGAAGTCTGAGTCTGATGTCAGAATAGGTAACAAAAGAAACAAAGCAAAATGACAATGATACATAAATTAACAAAGGACTACTAGCAGTTACTGACATGCCAGCTCCAGACTTCAATTAAACTGATTGAAAGATTATGTCTTCATCATATGAATATCAAGAACATAACCTGTACCATGCCAACAACTGGTTTTAGAATAAATGTGTTTATTTCCGATGCAAAGACCCTATGAGTGAATCAATATTAATACCAAAATATGCCATCTTTTAGTATTTTTTATGCCCCCGCCGTAGTGGTGGGGGCATTAAGTTTTACCCTTGTCCGTCCGTACGTCCCAAAGTTGGTTTCTGTTCTCTAACTTTAGTTTGCCTCAACCAAATGTTATGAAACTTATACACAATGCTTATTACCACAAACACAGATCAAGTGTGAATTTTGGTGGCGTCACTTTAACAGTTCTAGAGTTATGCCCTTTACAAATGGAAAAATTGCTGAATTTTTTGTTTCTGTTCTCTAACTTTATTTTTAATTATTATGTTTAAGTAATCTTTGAAGTAAAAATTAAAAAAGGGAAAAGAAATATATACAAGTGTAATGTTAATTTCACACACATAAAGTTTAATCAATTTCAGACAACGGCTGGTCTGCTGGGATTACCTAGGGATGGACCAATACCATCTTGGCTGGTAGGTGGTAATAATAAATACATTTTACTACTGTAACAATGTAATGGTAAAAATAACTCTTAACCGGAACAATTCACATCCATTGTACATGCATTACTTTTACAATAAATGTTACAAGCATTTTCTCATGTATTCTAAGTGATTAAAACTGTTGTTATAATATAGTAGTAACGCACCTTGTTTTAGGTCAAGGGTTCTAATCATAGAATGAAATAATGAAGATGTTGAACTAAGTAGCATATACTCAAATGACATTACCACATTACCATGAAATCATATAACAGATCAAAGACTATATCTCATATTTAGAAAGTTTTCAGTTAGATTAGATATATCATCATAGCGGAAGTCTGACTCCGCAGTTCTTATACAAGGTCAAGCATGTCATTCATAAAACATTGACGTGATATTGTCATAAAAATGAAATATTTTCTGTTGGTTGTTGGTATTCATTCATCTATCAGTCAAATCAAAATGGTCACTTGATGATGATGATGAATTGGTGTTTAACGACCAGTGTCAAATATTGCATGCATATCAGGACTAGACCATGTTAATGATATATGAATATGATCCCTCCTTTTTTCTAGACTGACACGTCAAGCTATGTTTTTAATATGCTAGTCCACAGGTAGAAAACTTTTCAGAAGTATAAGTTCTACATAACAGAATAAGATAACTGAAGATTTGAACCTTCAGAAATTAGACTTTTAATTATGCAATCATGAATTGAAAAAGAAATTTATGTTCATCAAAAGTCATATTTTTTATTAGAAAATCACTGTTACTTTGTATGGAGAAAAAGCTAAATACATATTTAGACAAAATTTATTTTTATAACTAATTTACTTGAAATCTTTGTTTTGTTTTCAGATTGATACAAAATATTTATCTCCCTTATTTATGGCCTATGATGACAGAATGGCTGAAAAAGATAAAATAATACTCAAATATCAGGTTAGTATAAATTTCATGGTGCCAGTATGTGGGGAATGGCTGTAGGGGTGTAAATTTAATGGAAATCAATAGCAGAATCTATGAAGTCTTTTTATTTGTGTTTTAGAAATTCCGATAATGAGTAATTATCATAAGCTAGAATAAAAAAAAATGAAAGACTTAAACAAGAATTTAAATTGACAAACATTGTAAATTCTAAAGAATATTGTAAAAATGAATATCATCTTTTAAACAGTCCTTTTGTACTACAACCAAATTCAAAAATGTATTATATGTTTATAGGAAGATTTTGACAGATTAAGAAGAAACGCTGAATCAATAGTGGATGAAAATGAGCAGCTACAACATGACCTTGAAGAAACAGCAACAAAAGGACCTGTAGATATACATGAATGGTTAGTATTAGGAAAAAAATTGAGATGTTCAGTAAACATAAATAAGACAGCAAACGTAAAAATTACAATAAAACAAGATATTTTTAGATCAACATTTGATCTTCAAGTTTAGACATCAGTAAGGGAGCTCTATTTTAGATACTGTGGAATCATCATTTATCGTTGGATACTAACTTTGTGGATTTAGTGGGAACAAGTTAAAAAATATTCAACAAAAATTGCGCATTTTCTATAGGCTTGTGTGCAGACTTTGGAAAAACCGTGAAATTAAGTATCCATTTTTTCTCAATCACAAAAACTGGTACCCTCAAAAATAAATGAATCCACAGTAGGACCTCATTCATTTAAAAGTCCGGTTGCAAAGATTAAACAAAATTTAAAGTATTTGCTCTTTTTATCTATGTATAGATTACTTACTTGCTATATTCAAATTGTTATTCATATATACAAAGAAATTTTCTTAGTTGGTAATGGATATATTTTTGTCCCCTTTCATTTGTCGTAAGTTGGATACAACACCTTATTAACAGCTCTGAAAAGAAAAACTAAACGTAAACTTAATTTACCTAAATATAGTGATTTATTCATTAAAGATATTGTTGTGTGTCCACACTTGTCTGTGGAGTTAAATACTAATTGTGGACTTGGAATTGAAATTGAAAAAATTGAACTGCTCTCATGGTTTTTAGCTCACCGGGGCCCAAAGGGCCCCATGTGAGCTTATGCCATCACTTGGCGTCCGTCGTCATCCGTCGTCTGTTTCCTCGTCTGTCGTCGTCATCGTCGTCTGTCGTCGTAAACTATTTCAAAAATCTTCTCCTCTGAAACTGCTCGGCCAAATACCTTCAAACTTTAACTAAATGTTCCTTAGGGTATCTAGTTTGTAAATTGTATCCGAAATTTTGATCCATCGACAAACATGGCCGCCATGGCTAAAAATAGAACATAGGTGTCAAATGCAGTTTTTGGCTTATATCTCAAAAACTAAAGCTTTTAGAGCAAATCTGACAGGGGGGTAAAATTGTTCAATTGGTCATGATCTATCAGCTTTGAAATTTTTCAGACGAATCGAACAACCCATTGTTGGGTTGCTGCCACCGAATTGGTAGTTTTAACAAAATTTTGCAGTTTTTTGTTATTATTTTGAATATTATTATAGATGGATATAAACTGTAAGCAGCAATAATGTTCAGCAAAGTAAGATCTACAAAAAAGTTAATATGACCATAATTGTCAATAGACCCCTTAAGGAGTTATTGCCCTTTAAAGACAATTTTACACAATTTGTTCATCAAGTTTGCTAACATTTAAAAATCTTCTCCTCTGAAACTACTGGGCCAATTACCTTCAAACTTTAACTAAATGTTCCTTAGGGTATCTTGTTTATAAATTGTATCCAAAGTTTGTATCCATCGACAAACATGGCTGCCATGGCTAAAAATAGAACATAAGGGTCAAATGCAGTTTTTGGCTTATATCTCAAAAACTAAATCTTTTAGAGCAAATGTGACATGGAGTAAATTGTTTAATTGGTCAAGATCTATCGGCCCTGAAATTATCAGACGAATCGAACAACCCATTGTTGGGTTGCTGCCACCGAATTGGTAGTTTTAACAAAATTTTGCAGTTTTTTGTTATTATTTTGAATATTATTATAGATATATATAAACTGTAAGCAGCAATAATGTTCAGCAAAGTAAGATCTACAAAAAAGTTTATCTGACCAAAATTGTCAATTGATCCCTTAAGGAGTTATTGCCCTTTAAAGACAATTTTACACAATTTGTTCATCAAGTTTGCTAACATTTAAAAATCTTCTCCTCTGAAATACAGGTGAGCGATTCAGGCTCTTGAGAGCCTCTTGTTAAACTGCCAATGAAGAAGGTTATGTTAATGCATTAAAGTAATAAAACTGCTGCTAAAATGATTCAGATATCACCTTAATTAACCCTTTCCGTGATTGAGATTTTTTTTTATTATAAACTAATTTTCATAGGATATCTCAATGAAATTTTGGAAATAAGCTTCTTTTATGAAATAAAAACTTTGATAAACGTGGGGAAGGCAATTTACCAAATAAATCATCATGTTTAAAAAAGAAATAAGAAAAACTACTTCATTAGGGTGGTACAATAGGATGATAGGAGTCATTATGGAGGAAAGGGTAAATGTTTGTTATTAAATTGAAAGACTTCATTGTTTAAAAGAGCAATATTTAAGTTTAGGACTTTTGTTACAGGGAACAATTGAAAGAAAATGCTAAATTAATACTTGAAGAAAATCAGAATTTACTGGAACAAATCAACATAAAAGATCAAAAGGCACATGATTTACAGCAAGCTCATATACGAGAAGGTAAGACATAAATTTACATAAACCAAATATAAAAGAAATTTAGGTCAATAATTTACAGCAAGCCTATAAATCAAGAAGTTAGATTAATTACTAACAGCAACCATAAGAAGTTTACGCACAAGATTTACACCAAACCCATAAATGAAAGGGAAGTCTACCAATGTTTAATTTGACTGAAGTCCATATTTGTTGAGGTAAGCAAATCTGTAAATTAGATTGCTAATTTATGTATATGAGTGGATTTACATGCAAGAACAATCTATAGTGAAATTATAAGAAATAACAATTCAACAAAGTAACAGTGCTTTTTCTGTACTAATTTTGATTTAGAATTTAGCATGTTTCTTTTATTATTCCACTGATTTAGATTGAAATGGGAGGGTTGAGATATATGAAAAAAGATTCAACATGTCACATGTTCATATGCCTATCCACATCATAAATGGTCTATGTTATATATCTAAATGATTTATGTCATGTAGGGACTCTGGTATTGGTTGCAGATGACAGATAGTCCCTATTAAATTTTCTTGCCTCAGTACGATATAGAGTATGACATATTGTATATACACTTGTCTACTGATGCATAAAATTGAGAATGGAAATGGGGAATATGTCAAAGAGACAACAACCCGACCAAAGAGCAGACAACAGCCGAAGGCCACCAATGGGTCTTCAATGCATCGAGAAAATCCCGCACCCGAAGGCGGCTTCAGCTGGCTGCTAACTAAAATTGTGTGCTAGAAGACTATATGTTGACCTTAACATGTCTCAGGGTTTAAGCGAGGATTTTGAGGGCTTTAGTCACTTTTGCGCGAGATGAAAATCAACCTTATTTTGATTAACAGCAAGGGACCAAGGACGTATATTACTAGCTATACATCTTTGAAGGACTTAGGCATGCTAGGCAGTTATTGCATGATTTGACTGATGTGGTGCTTAAATATGAAGATTAGAACAAGGAGCCGGAAATCTAGTTCACAATTTCACTTCAGTTATTTTCAGGGGACATTCCTCATCAACAAAGTTGGGTTCCTCTTTTTAAAAACCAGGAATAATGAACTTGTAACGACTATTTCACTGCATAATCATTGTCCCTGTAAAAACGTTTAAATCGATATTCATTTCTTTAAACTTGGAACCAAGGATTTGTAAATGACTGTATATTTTAAATTAATCAAGAATAGATCACGTTAACTTTCGATTTTTAAACGAAATGAAAACAGGAATTGACAAGAGGATAATAAATTCAGAATGAATCCTGATTCATCTATGGCTTGTTTCGAAAAAGGCAGGAAATTTTTTATTTTTAAATAAGTTGCTTAGTAAGAAATATATTTGTCTCTCTCGTTTAATTTGATACTTTTAAAATGATTTCGTATTTTACGCTTTAGTGTCTTAATTTAAAAGAATACTTTCACACATGCGCAGTATATAGTAAAAAAAGAACCTGTTTGACTCTTGAAAATATTTCTGAACGTTTTGAATAAATTTAAAGTACTATCTTTTTAATCGAAATTGTCGAAAGTTTTTGATGAAAAGTTGTATAAAATATGACAAAACTACGACAAACAAACTGCAAATTGTGATCGTGAGAAATATTGAAATTAGCAGTACATAGTAAAAAAAGCACCTGTTTGACTCTTGAAAATATTTCTGAACGTTTTGAATAAAGTACTATCTTTTTAATCGAAATTGTCGAAAGTTTTTGATGAAAAGTTGTATAAAATATGACGAAACTACGACAAACAAACTGCAAATTGTGATAGAAATATTGAAATTAAAATGCGAACTGTCCAGGAGAAAGCGATTTTGTTCAAATGATGAAACTACAATAAACGAACTGCAAATTGTAGTCGTTTGAGAAATATTGAAATTTAAATACCGACTGACCAATTTTACTGGGAAAAATAATTATGATGGTCAATTATGAGGTTTATTAGTGACCCATCCTATGGCGATAAGCAGATTACCTTTAATCACAACTTATAACACCTGTTGTAAAGGTTAATTAGCTGAGGGTCATAAACTTGTCAGGAACATGAAGACAGGTAGAACTAAGTATTTTCATGCGGAAATGTTTTTACACTTTCTTTTAAGTGACGAAATTGATTTGAAAAACTTTTGTCATTTTGAAAAATGTTTTGTAAATGAGGAAAATGACAAGTGCTAGCTAAATCACTGATGTCTTTTTTTGTGTGTGACGACTGGTAGTGATAGTTGTCTCTTTGGTGTTTACCCCACATCTCTTTAATTCTCAAGTTCATTGTTATGCATCTTGAAAATTTCAAGGATGGTTATCATATATGAGCTGAAGTTCCTTAACAGCAAGGTCAAAACAGCCCTAGTATTTAGGAATACTCCATTATAATGGATGTGAGACCGTAGGAAGGGACTTCAAAAATCCCCCTATAACCAACAATTCCTTTTAGTTATTTTGCAAACATCAAATGATATTCAACCAAAAATGACACACAACCCATGTCCATAATTAAAACTTCCCATCCTGTCCTCCCACATCTGTATAAATGGGATAACCCTTACCTTAAATGTATTAATCATATTTTTCCTGTTTTCTTTACAGTGTCCAAAGTTACAAAAGAATTGGTTATGATCAGGGCAGAAAAATCGGACACAGATAGGGAACTTGAAGAATTACAACGAAAATGGAAGGATACAAAACAAAAACATGATGAGCTGATCAGAGAGGGTGAAGATAAAACTACTGTAGACCAGTATATCAACAAGATTGCTGATCTCAAAAAGTTAGTGTTGGTTTACATCAAAATCTATTCATGTGTTCATGTAGGGGCTTCAGTGGTCGTGTGGTCTTAGTATTTCATTTACTGTGATTGCTTGTCTGTCAAATCTAAGGTTGTGATTGCCCCTTCTTGTGGCAGGGTGTTTGTTTCAGATCTTAATTGACAAGGGTTTTTCAGTTTTCCTATTAAAGGTTGTAAGTATTATGGTATATCGTTGTCCGTCGTCAACATGACAGACAATAACTCAAAAACGCTTTAACCAATTTTCATGAAACTTTGGTTAATTGTTTATATCTATTGACGTAAGTTCCCATTTGATTTTTATAAATTTTAGATTTTACGTTTCAGAGTTATGGGATTTTATTCATAAATAAACAGCTGCGCCATGAGCGCATGATACTCCCGTCGTCTTGTGTGTGAATTTTTATGCAATAATCATAAATAGTTTCTGACATGCGAAAACCCCCTTTTTTTTTTTACAAAAAACTCAATATCTCTTAAATGAAATTTTGAATCAAAACCAAAAAGTATACAGATCTTAAGATTAATATAACTAAGAAGTGTGTAAAATTTTAAGCAATAATCATAAATGGTTTTTGAGATACGGCACGACATGTGAAAACCCCCCTTTTTTAAAAAAAAAAAAATCAATATCTCAAAAATAAAATTTTGAATCAAAAACAAAAAGTATACAGATCTTAAGATTAATATAACTAAGAAGTGTGTAAAGTTTTAAGCAATAATCATAAATTGTTTTTGAGATACGGCGCGACATGTGAAAAAAAACACACACCTGTTTTAGTTACTAAGTCCCGTAACTCAAAAAGTTTTAATCTTATTTTCGCTAAAAAGTATACAGATCGTTTGACCATCATAAGAAACAACTATGTTAAGTTTCATGAATTTTGGATAAGTCATTCTCAAGTTACGGTGCGACATGTTTACGCCGGACAGACAGACGGACGGACAGACGGACGGACACCGGACATTTGTATACCATAATACCCGTCAAAAATGGACGGGCGTATAAAAAGGGAGGATTTTCCAGTTTTCGGACAATAACTCAAAAATGGTTTGAGCAGATTTCATGAAACTTTGGTGACTGGTTTATATCTATTAGGATAAGCGCCTATTAGTTTCTTTATAAATTTCGGATATGACATAGAGGAATTGTGGAACTTTATTTTTGAAAAGTTGACCAACGTATCATTCCCTCATGGCGCAGCTCTTTATTTATTTCTATTCATAGTACATTTGTAACAGCACCATAGGCAACTAACAACAGGGTTAGAATATTTTCTCAAAATACAATATTCATTATGAAAATAATCTGAAATGAATATTATTTTTCTTTAGCATATGTAAAAGAGAGGCGAAAGATACCAAAGGGACATTCAAACTCATAAGTAGAAAATAAACTGACAATGCCATGACTGAAAAAAGAAAAAGACCAACAGACAAACAACAGTACACAAAACACAACATGGAAAACTAAAGACTCAGCAACACAAACCCCAAATATATCAATGACCCACACTTTAAAGTTATCACTGTCAGATAACAGAACACATATTTAATATACAATATACTGTCAGTAAACAGAACACACATAAAATAAGAAGTAATCATTATTAAACGTCACCAGTGTCTGGGCAGAAAGTTGATGAAGCAGGGTTATGTCAAAGAAGTCTCATCCTTTTTCTAAAAAAGTTCATCGGAAGATACCAAGACCTTGTTGATAAATAATCCGTATCAACTTCACAAATAATACATGATGGTCTTGAAGTATAGATTCTAGGTACTGACATTGTTTATCATCTTAACTACGTGTTATAGTGTTCTTTTTATTGGCTTTGTATATTTTTAACCTTTACTGTTTAGTCAATTTTTGGTAATATCCTTTTGGTGTTGCTCTGTATTAGTACAACCCACCATTGTGTTATTGTGCTATGAAAAATTCATCAGGAAACAGTATTGCATAAGTTTATTTGAACATCCTCAGTTGTATAGTAAAATGGCTGATTGCAAGATATTAACAAATACAAATGTATCGAAAAAGCTAAGTAGCAATTTTGCATTCAATATATAAAAAATCTGTTGTTAATATCAAATAGTAAGGTCATGTTATTAATGATATTTTTACAAATGCAGTTTGTTTCTATGACTGTACATTTTAGACTGATAGTAGGAAATTGTAACTATTGTTTATTCAAATGTTAAATTTGCTAATGTTTTTGTAGAGAAATGTTAGATATAGAAGATCGCCATAGGAAAGATTCGGAAGAACTCAAAATCAAATTACAGGTAATAAGTTTTATGGAGATAATGTGAATAACCTTTTTTGTTATAAATTAGGTTGTTAGTTTTCTAAGTTGAATTGTTTAATATTTTTCATGTCAAGGCCTTTTATAGCCAACTATACAGTATGGGTATTTTTCATTGTTGAAGGCCGTATGGTTGCGTATAAGTCTCATTGGCAATCATACCACATCTTCTTATTTTTATATGGACAGGAAACTCTGGCATAGCTCAATAATAGGTCTTCACAAATTCCTATTTTCTAGAATTATAGTCTCAGATTTTACCTTGTTTGATTCGTTTGAATAACTTGAACTTATCACTTACAATATAATATTTTACCAAGAAGAGAATAGTTTAACCAAAATGAATCAAGAGTTCTTCTGGTATGCTTCTAGAAGAAAAATGGATGGATTTATGCTTATTGTCCGTTTGCAAATATTACATGCATATTCTTGACAAGAACATGTTAATGAAATATGAATTTACTCTGCTTTATACTAGACCTACATGCTGAGTTGGATTATTAATGTGCTTGCTCACAGGGTAACAGTCTGTAGGAAGAAAAGTTACCCTACCCAGCCACATTATTCTGACTCCAAGCCATCCAATCTCTGTTCTTTCTACCAAATGCTGAATACATAGTAGAGGAGCAGCAAATATCAACTTTGGTATGACCCTATGGTAGATAGAACCAACCTCTCATATTTCAGATGAGCATGTTACTGCCAGACCACAAAGCCAGTTGTAGAAGGAATAAAAGCTATAGTTTTGATCATGAAACCCATGCAAATACAATTTGATAAATTGATTATAAGGTTTTTTCTTATAGAACTGTTTTGACCCTTGGTTAGGCTTTTATCGTACATGCATGCATCAGACTTTGGTGAATAAATTCTCATTGACAATCATACCAAATCCTCTAATTTTTGTCTCGCCTTGACAGAGTCAAAAAGCGAGACTTAGGTATGCTGTTCCTGGCAGCGACAGTGGCAACAATTTGTAAAAGTTTGTGATTAGGTCAGTTTAAGGGGAACCACTTATGATAAGTCAATGATATTTGGTAAGCAGTTGTTTAAGCAATGGTACTGTGAATATGTCAGTTTGATTTGAATTACTTATGATCAGTCAATTAAATTTCGTTTGGCATTGTTTTAGCATTGACATATTTTATATATCAGAAATTATTTGGCCCTTTTCCTTCAGTTATGGTTTATTGACTTTGAGTATTTTTGCATAATTTACATATTAAAGTATTGCTTTTTTAATTTCAACATTTGCATTTTACTATCAAATTATATATAGAGGGTAGACATATATCTATGTCAACATTTTATTATAACTATTCACCATATGGCAGTGACATACAGTAATTTATTCTTTCGAAATAAGTTATGAAATTTATGTCAATTGATGTATAAATGACTATTTAGTGAAGACCATAAGGCAAATAACTTTCTTTATCTCATAGGCAATGGAAAATGAGAGGAAATCTCAGACTCAGCAAATGATAGAGTTAACAGCAGAAATCAAAAGACATCAGGCTGAGAAAAAAGCTATGCATAGAAGTATGAGGTCAGTCACTAATGTTTATATATACATATACTAAAATCATGGCTGATTGGGGGGAAGGGGGCCATCCTATCACAAAATTCTGAACATCATGTCCTGAAAACCTTTTTTTACTGTGCATACTGTTACAAAAGAAATGAATATACCAATAATGGCAATCATAACTTAAAAAAGGACAGCGATGTCAGTGTAAAAAAGGTAAACAATATTGTACAAAAAAAAATATAGATTTTCAACAACACAAACTGCACAGTAATCTTGGGCTAAACTCAGCTAGTCCCAAATGATTAGCAATTTCCACTTTATATATTGCTTTCATTGTTCATTGTGCTTCTCAGGACAAGTGAGAGATTCCAACTTGAATTTTTTTTATCAGCAACACTTTTGTAAAAAGCAATGAAATTTTATTGCAATGTTCAGAGAACCATAAATACCTCATAATATTGTTCACAATCTATTTTGTGCTTTATGCAAATGATTTTATGGGTTTCCACTAGCAAAGTATGGACTTTGTCACATTTATATGGTATTGTTGCTTTTTCATAGACTAATGACTTTTTGATTGTATCACCTGCATGTTTTTTTATACAATTTTGTAAGAATTTATGAGCTCTGATTTCAGTGTTTCTAGTTTTTCAAGTGGATCAGTATACACAAGAGATTTAACATTATACCATTTCAGGAAAACTCAAAACAAGATGTTGTATCTACAAAGAGCTATAGAACAGTCAGAAACAAAAGAACAGTCAGTTCAAGATTACCTAGGCAATATTATAAGAGTGGTAGGTACTATAGTCACACTAAAACAAAAAGACAAAAAACTCTGTTATTCCAGGATATCTTATGAATAGACTGGGATGTTGGGCATATGTCAATGAGGCAATGACACAAAACACTATTAAACAAAAAACACATCTTAGCCAATAATATTAGATTTGGAAACAAACAAAAATTTCAACATTACCTAGTTGCAATTCAAAACAAAAGAACAGTTGGTTCAAAATTAATTAGTACATACCATTTACATTCAGGCTCAAAAGAACAGTCAGTTCAAATTTACTTATGATAGGTAATATAATTAGTAACAATAAACATTTTGTACCTAGTGGTAGGTGCAAAGTTAAATTTGAAAACAAAAGACCATTTGCTGTGAATTCAGATATTTTGTGTGAACAATGGACAAACAGCTAGATTTATTATTACAATTTCAGGAATTGCAGCATACAAATAATGATATATAAATTTAGAAAGGTAGTTTTTATTCTTGCTCAACCTATCCTGTCACAATTTTTAATAAAAACATCATTGGTCTCTTGGTATCGTGTTCACCTGGAGTACGGGAGATTGTTGGTTTGAACCCAGGTGAAACCATAGACTGTAAGATTGGTATTTGCTGTTTCTCTGCTAAGCATGTGTCATTAATGAGTAAGAACAAAGACTGGTTAGCTCAGGGTCAGAAGAGTGACATGTCTTCCTGCAAACTATTACCTTGTGAACTAGCACTTTTAAAAATCAGGCTTAGTGTGTCTGTCTAGTACAAAGCAGGGTTCGTATTCATATGGCACTAACATGTTCTCTTCCTGAATATGAATTTAATTTGCCACTAGACGTTAAACAGCAATCCATCCATCCACATAGTCTGCAAACACCAGGCCTTGTGGTCATAAACATTTCAAGTACGATTAACGTACTCAGACTCAGAAATCAACCAATCAAAATACTGTATTTGGTGTTTCGAGCACAAATTTTGTACTCGGGAGTACTAAGAAAAGTTTTCTGACCAAAAGACCCGATTCCTGTCCAACAATGCTATCTCTTTAGGTAATTTATAACTCTCATATTTAACTAATTTACATCCTAACCTTCTAGGCTCTCAACTAATAAATAGTTTTAATAATAATTTTAGGCAGAGAAGGTTGCACAGGAAAGAGATAATTATGCCAAAGTGGTAAGATTTTTAGAAAATAAAAAAAACCAACAACTTACATGGAATGGGTTAAGGTGCTATTGATGAAACCTCTTCTGAACTTTTGATTTTAGATTTAAAGATAGATGGTATATCAAATGTTTTTCCCCTGTTTTAGTATAAGGAATTTTGTGAATTTGAACCTTTCTAATACTCTTATTTTATAATCCATAAAATATGAATTTGATGTAATGAATAATAATTTAACAAAAGTTGGCTTTTGCTTCCAGTAAAACACCTGTAATTTGTGTAGGGGTGGTGGGGTGGTTATTTTTCTGAGAATCCACCACTGTATTCTACAAATGTTATTGTCTCCAACAGTACAAGAGATACTTCAAAAGATGGAAGAGACTGGTAAATGGAAATCATTTTCAAAATCACACACAAACATTAAAATCACTTTAATAATATATTTTTTGTATCATAACTCACATTCTAAAATGTATTTTATGTAAAAGTTGTTCTAGTAGCATGATATTTAAAATTCCTTACATAAAACATACAATTGATGATGTTCAAATATGGAGACAACTGTTAATCATGATCTGTGTAGGTCTGTAGGATAAAATTTATTAATCTTGATCATGAAATTTCCTTCATTTAGATATGAAAAAAAACATACAATTTCTGGGCTAATGGCATTTGTTCCTGGAATAACCTTCAAGTTAACTTGATCTAAAAGTTTGGAAAAAAAAAACAAAAAATATTGGAGAGCTCATGGTATTGGAGATAATTATATGTGGTTGTATTTGTAAATCTATATCGGAGGGTTGGAAGGAAATTTTAATTTTTGGACATGAGTCCTGGTTCATTTATGGTATTTTTCCATTTGATCTAAGCAAAATTAAATGAAGAAGGAATGTTGGTTTAGGGGTAGGGGAGGTTTTTGAAAAACATTCCTAGCCTCACATCAATTTTGACATAATAGCCCTTAAGAAATCAAATTGAAATTAACCTTTTTAAGACTTACAAATGAGGTCAAACGTGATGAATCTTTTTTTGCTCAAGTTAATGCTCTGACAAGCTCAGACAAAATATGAAGAAATTTTCCTAATTTGAATTTAACTTTGAATTGCATTGTTAAACGATAATTCACTTTGATGTATTTCATCTTTTCACATCATTGTAATACACATCACTGTCATGTTATTATTTTGAAAAAGGCATTTCAGTGGCAGAATCAGACAAACACATATCTGAATAAATTAATGAATTCAAATCCATATCAAAGCATTTTGATCAGAAGTTTAAGATTTGAAGGTTTTTGCGTAGCTAGTAGTAAATAATAACTGTATGTTTATGAAAATTCTTGATTATTTCAATTTTTCTAGTATAAAACAGTAATATGTTTAAACTGCATAGTACATACTAAAAATCTATTAATAGATACTTTGCCAAAAAATAATAGGATCTTAACCTGACTATAGATGTTTCCAGATTTTTTATTTTTTTTAATGAAAAGTTTGAAGCAGAATTTCTTTTTATTTGAAAAATATATGAATAAAGTAAAAAAATGAATAAAGTGGGTAACATTAAAGACTCTGCAACCTGCCAACACAAAAATAAACAAGACGCATGATTTGACAATGCAATAGCATTTTATATATTTATACAGGCTAAGGAGAATGAGATAGAAACAAAGAAAGCTGTTAACAAGTTACTCCAGGATAATATGATGAAAGCAAAACTGGAAGAGAAACTTAAGGTTGGTATATTGCAGAACTTATGTCCAACATTATGTTGGTCTGTATGATATGTAGATATCAACTATACATGTCCAAAAAGGTAGATACACACCCCTCGTAAAAACATTTTTTGATATCCTGACCTACCTTATTTACCTTCAGGCTGATGGAATGCTAAAAGAAGAAACTTGTTTTTTGTCTTCAGGAGTAGTCATAGTGGAGCAACTTTGCCCACAGTTGTGTCTAGCCATGAGAGTAGTGCTTGTGGAGCAACTTTACCCACAGAGTGATTCTTTTGAAGAAAACCTTTCCTTGCTATAGAAGTCAATGGAAGGCCGTTGTGGTCAAAAATCTTAAATTTAGGAATTTTATTTAGATTTATATTCCTTTGAAAACAAGAATTTTTCAAAATGTGCTTTAATGACAGGAGACATTAAAGAGGCTCAATGAAATGGGGGAGTACTGTGCTGATAAGTTACAAATTGTATTATATTATAAAAAGATAATGTTGCTTATTACTTCTCTTTTCAGCTATACAAAATGAGAGCAGCTGCAAAGATTAATACTGTTTCTGGCAGGTGAGCATACGTAAATCTATTTTTCACTTGACAGTTCTGTTTGCTTTTTTTTTGGGGGGGGGGGGGGGGATATCATACAATTAATCGATCCTTTATCATGAAAAAGTGTAAATTTGAATATATAGATGCTTCTTCTGTTGCAAGTGGGTTTCAATATTTCTCCACTAAAAATAGTTGAATATTAAATTTTCAAGCATTTTAAAATCTGAAATCGCAAAATTTTTAGTTCAGTATTAAACTGTTTCTCCCATATGCTTTTCATGGTACTCTGTGGCTAAGTATTTCAACGACATTTATCACTAGCCTATTAACCCTGAGGTTGTCAGTTTGATTTTAATTGACAAGGATTATCAGTTTTTCTGCTGAAGGTATGTGGTTCTCTCCTGGTACTCATGCTTCCTCCACCAATAAAAACTAACTTCCGTGATAAAGTCAAAGGGTGCTGAAAGTGGTGTTAAACACCATAATTCAAATAATCCATCATTAATATGTTTTTCTGTATTTCCGGTGTAAAAATCTGTTATTGTATTGGACAACAATTGCTCTGTTGCTACTGTATTGTACACACTCAAGAATATATGCTTTTATATTTTGGAATCTGTCTAGTCCAATGCTGAATAGTTTTTAATAGATTTGATTGTTAACTTAAAGACCTCTATCTAAATTATTGCACTCAAAATGTACCAATTCATAACAATAATGTGAATTACTGATTTTCTGTCATTAATTTCCAGGCTAGCAGAACAAGACCAAACATTCTTAAGTCAGAAAAAAGAATATGAGAGAGAGATTAAACATTTACGACATTTAATTAAGGACAAAGAAGATCTAATGCATGGCTTTTCAGACGAGAAAAGGTAAGCTATTTGTGATTAAGGAACATGAAATCAAAATGTGCAGCTTTGAATAATAAATTTATGGTTTTCCAAATTTTTCCAGCTATATGCTTTTATTTTGCAATTGGTATTTGTATAATAGCTATAAAACATTATTTGTTCCTATCAAACTAACTTAAGCAGAAAATTTAACATTGCAAATTGCTTATTAATTGAAAATCGCTGGACCTAGGGGCCTTGGCCTCGAAATAGTTGTCAAACTTATATGTACTGATAGTAATGCAACTTTATAGAGAATATCATTAATCTATCACAAGTAGTTCATTTCAAACTTAAGCAGAAAACTTAACAATTGTTGACACCACTGCCGCCCCCAGAAAAGCAATACCTAAGTCATGCCTTCCGAGACAAAAAACCAATGGTTTTGTTTCAATATACAATTATAAAATAAATCAAAACAATGGAAAAAATTAAGAAATGTCCAGGTATTTTTAGTTAGATACAGGCAGTTGAAAAAATAAAATAATTTGATTAAAAATAGCTGTATGTGTGAGAATAAATGTTAAAATGTTTGAAAAGTAATTAAGAATATCTGGCATTTCAAAATGCTTTGTCAGAAGGTTATTTAAGATTAAAAAAAAAAATAAAGAAATACCAGAGGCTGCAGGGTAAAAATTTTGAACGAGTTGTCTATGAAAAATCCAGAGAGATAACAAAATTTTGAGGAAAAGTTTGCTTACATCCAAAGTAAATGCTTGCTCTTGAATTATTTCTTATAAATTGTTTTGTTTACATGCATATTTTTACATTTTCATACCAAAAGGAAAATACAATTAATATCTTTTATTTTCTTTTACTATGAATAAAGATGACCTCATTTTTGTGTATTAATTTTTTTTTTTTGCAGAGATGCAGAAGATGAATTGGAAGTGATGTGGCAGGCAGCACATAATGAGAATGAACGAATGAAAGACGTTTTACACAAAACTGTTAGACAACTACGCCAACATGAAGCTTTATCAGATGCCATGGATAGGGCAGAGCCTAAAGAGCTTGTCCATGTGTCGTCTGATGAACAATGATCTCCAGTTATCTCCCTTGTCAGTTCTCAGTCCAAATAGTATCAGTAGAAAAGTCAAATTGAGATTTCTGTCATAATGTCTTGTAATTCTTGTGGAATTCAAATGATAACATCATGGAAATAATATTTCCTTGGTGAAAGGATTTATTTCACCTGTCTGGATTCTCATGAAAATTGCATCAGAAAGTGCTTATATTTGAAAGGAAGAAAGTCATATTAGCAGCTTTTTACTAAAAAAATCATGGGAAAATTGTATAAGAAATTATCAGTCTCATGAAAAAAGGGAATACAGAGATATTTTTCGTTTTTATTCTGTGAAAGAAAACAAAATAACATTAATTTGTATCCATAAGCATGCATTGTATCATACAAATAGTAGATGTAACCTTGAACAATATAAGATTCTTCTACTTTAAATTTTCTTTTTAATTTATCTAAAGATGCATACCTAATTTACTGATGTACACGTACAATGCATTGATTTTTCTAATTTTAAGAAGATATTTATTTTTTTTCATATTTTACACAACAAACATTTTTCACACAATGTCACTTCATTGTAGATTAAAATTCAAATATCTATTACTTTTCTCTGGTTTAGCTGGAATAAAGGCCATTATGCCTGATAACAACACAAAAAGAGAACTTCACTTTTTACAGATCTTCAGAAAAAAATATTGAAGCTTGCTTTTACATTGTCTAAAATTAGAGAAACAGATTCTACCACTTTGTCAAGTGTGGTACTACATTTCTTCTGCCCTATAGGTGAAAAATTTAATTGTCTGGATTGAAGAAATGTCATATCTCACCTGGTACAGTGATGGAATCTTATTTTTATAATGTTTACTTTAAGGGAAGATATAAATGTACAACATGCCAAAATGTTTTTAACTGTTGTTTTATATCATACTTTTAAAATTTTATGAGCTCCCTTTCTAAGAGGGCGGAAGGATCTTTTTGGGGATGTCTGGATTGGGCCTTTCTTTTTGAGGGAATTACGGATTTACACTTCTTGGGATTATTGACTAATTTGTCGGGGTCTGGGAAAGAATGCTTTATATTTTAGGGGAATTCAGGTTCAGTGTTTATTTTTCTGGGAATTGGGAATAACAACCTCCAACTTTGCCCTCTTCTACCAGATCCCCTTTCTTAAATGTTTTAAACAGTATTGTTACTACAGGTTAAACATACAGTTTTGTAGATAACGGTATTGTTACTACAGGTTAAACATACAGTTTTGTAGATAACGGTATTGTTACTACAGGTTAAACATACAGTTTTGTAGATAACAGTATTGTTACTACAGGTTAAGCATACAGTTTTGTAGATTTTAGCTACATATACATGTAAGTTAAGTCTTTCTGACAAACAATGAAGAATGTAGCTACAAGTAATTTTATAATACAGCCAAATTCTGTACGTCTTGGAATGAGGTGGATATATAAAATGTCAAAATGCTTCTGTGTTTGATGACCTCAATATGGACTAAACAACATATCTTATATTTTATTGATACTTTTATAATGGTTGTGTCCCTTTTAAATGTAGTTTTATTGGAAGTCCAGCTTTGAAGTAGAATTTTAGGACTATACTAGATTAATTACAGCATAAACACTCCAACTTTAAACATATTATTTTTCAAAATTTAAAAGAAAGATTATTAAAAAAAATTGGTAAAAGTTAGAATAAATTTTGCTCATATAGAACACTAACTCAAAATTTCAAATTTACAAAAGTTAAAATAATCTTTTTTTATGCCCCATATATGGGCATTATGTTTTTCGATCTGTGCGTCAGTTCGTTCATTCATTCGTTCGTTTGTCTGTCCATCTGTCTCGCTTCAGGTTAAAGTTTTTGGTCAAGTAAGTTTTGATGAAGTTGAAGTCCAATCAACTTGAAACTTAGTATAATATGATCTTTCTAATTTTAATGCCAAATTAGAGTTTTGACCCCAATTTCACGGTCCACTGAAAATAGAAAATGATAGTGCGAGTGGGCATCTGTGTACTATGGACACTTTCTTGTTATCTCATCAGTTGAAATTTTTTTTCCAAATTTGAATGCATTTATCAATAATTCCGATTGGCTGACGTTGTTTTGTTTATCAGCTCATAGACATCATTTTGTCATGTGACCTTGACGTCATCAACGTTTTTTAAATGTTTTACTCCGGTTTAAAATGGAATTAAGAATTAAATTATAAGAAATGACTGTAATATTTTTTCTGTCTATTCGAAATAACATAAAAAATGTGGTGCACACTTTAAAATAACCCGCTACGCGGGTTATTCAGTGTGCACCACATTTTTGATGTTATTTCTTCATAGACAGAAAAAATATTACAGTCATTCCTTAAATAATTTAATTTGGGATGTAATGCATCTTCTGATTGGCTGACGTTGTTTTGTTTATCAGCTCATAGACATAATTTTGTCATGTGACCGTGACGTCATCAACGTTTTTACATGGTTTACTCCGGTTTAAAATGGAATTTAGAATTAAATTATAAGAAATGACTGTAATATTTTTTCTGTCTATTCGAAATAACATAAAAAATGTGGTGACACTTTAAAATAACCCGCTACACGTGTTATTCAGTGTTCACCACATTTTTGATGTTATTTTTCATAGACAGAAAAAATATTACAGTCATTCCTTAAATATTTAGAAAAGATGTATAAGGATTGAGAGTTAATGTTATATTATTGCCTTGTTTGCTTCAATTAATGACATGTTATCGTCATATATTATGGTGTCTGCCTTATGCCTGCATTTATTTTGTACCAAATGCATTTTCATGCTTATCATATATGAGCCAGCTTATCATGTGATCATTTTACTTATTTATTTTTGCCAGATAGTAGTCAGAAGCATATACAAATTTTTATTTTTTGCATTAAAAATAATACAGTGGATTCATTTGTTTCCATTGATCCAATTATCATGATTAGGAAAACTTATATTTTTTTTTAGAATTTGATTTGTTGGTATAACAAATCCTGCTTAAAACTCTTTAGAAAACAAATAATTTGCTCAATAATTTCATTCATGGTTCACTGTACTAATGAAATGCAAGAAAATTATTATTAAATCCAAAATTATTGTGAGTTATAATTGATAATATTTGATGCTAGGTATATCAGATGGATTAGTGAGTATACTTACTTCATGTAAATAAACTATAGCAGATTTGTTTGTTATGGTGCTGTAAGAAAAAGGCAGCAGACATGCTCATATATGTAAATGAAATTTTGTGGCCCTAACACATCTTTCATTTATGCTTTAGTTAGTACATGTATATAAAACATTTGCAAATTTGTAACTGTTTATATCACTGATATGAAATTTAATCAATTTTTTTAGCAATGTCTTTCAATTTGTTTTAAAGAAAAGAATAATTAGATAAAAAGTCATTTGCACCTTATTAATATTTGAAGATTGAATAAAAAATAAAATGTTTTGATGGCTAAATTCCAAGAAAAAATTATTTTAATGAGATTTTAACTAACCTTTAGACAACTAAGTGGTCTGTGCCATAGTACTTTTATTTTTCAAGGACAATTTAGTTGTATTTTTTTTCAAATTTACCAGATCCAAATATTTATAAACCTAAATAGTTAGCATTTTATGTGCTGAGCTACAGTCTTCTACATTGATTTACACCTTGATAAATTCAACCTTGTTCATTTCTCTCAGATCACCAATATTCATGTTTACTGTGAATCTGTTCAGAGAAGCGTTATGGCCAAAGGACTCTATGGTGAAGTTTTATATCATTTAGACATATGTTGCTGGTATAACTTCTAATTTTTGAATTCTGCATTCCTTGACAATGAAATCATGATTTAGATGTGTTGAGAATACTTCATTAGCTAGAATCAAATCTGAACCAATGTGGACAAGTTTAGTGGCCTTTTTTCTGAAAATCTAATAATATATTTGAAAGGTGTCTAATTTATACTCATGATTATTCAAGAAATCACACACTTCTCCCATGTGTATAAGTCATTGCATTTTCAATATTTCGTGCCTTTTGTAATGAATTGTTATGTTTATGTGGGAGAAGGGTGCCATTTGAACAGAATTGATAGCCTGCTACATAATTGTATACATTAATCCATGTAAAATATAAAAAAAATTACATGATGGAAATTTTAAAGAAGTTTTTGGAAAAGTAGGTTCGGTGAAATATTTTTTACTATTTACGGCAAATAGCTAGATTTTTTATGTTAAATTTCAAAGTAGCAAAAAGTAAAATGAAACTCTAGATTATCTAATTATCTTTCAAAAATTGAAGTGTGAAAATCCAAGGAATAAAATGATCTTGTTGGTCTGATCGCTAGTTAAATGCTTTTCTTAAGGATGTACTTAAGTGAAATTAAAAAAATCTAGAATTTAAAATTGATACTATAAGTCAGAAGAGAATTAGTAAAGTAACAAAATAAGTAAAAGGTATTGATGGGTTATGAAACTCCTCTTTGAGATATTTGAAATTTAAAAAAAAATGGCTGGAAAAGGCTGACTTGGACTTTTACCTTATTGTTAGCATCGGCATTATTAGGGTCTCAAATCTTAAGAAAAAAAATCTAGAATCTCCTTTATCGTAGGAAAAAATCCAAGTAGTCCGAACATCTGACAAAAATTTCTAACCCTGACCTGACTACATCTTTAAAGTAAAACCTATACATTTGTCTGAAGAAAATTAAAAATCTTACCTTTGGGGAAATTTTACTATTAAAGTATTTCCTTATTCATTTACCTCAATTCGATTTTAAGCAATACATGACTTTTTTCGAAAAGAATTTTGTTGTTTCATTTTATCCATCATGATTTTAATATTTTTTTTCTTGTTGATTTTATCACTTTGCACATATTCATCTGTGATTATTGTTATATTTATGAATATACATTTATTTTTATGTTGTTGCATGTATTTCATTTGTCATGAAATCACTTTTTATAGCAATAAATATTTTTTATTAATATGAGTCTTTTTCTTGTTATTTTGAACCAAATAAATCATACAATATTTAGAGTTTTCAAAAGACAGATCTCATAGAAATACATATAAACTGGTATAGCTGTCAAATTCATGTTCACTGATTTGACTCAAATTTTATATGAATTTTATTCATAGCATGCTAAAACATGTATCCAAATTACAAAAAAGTCTTGAAGAAACAATTTACAATGCATGGACCTTTTATAATGGATCAGCATTTTATGTGTATTTTAGACTATATGCCATCTAATTAACCATCTAGATGACCTTTGAAGAAAGCTGATTGTCATACAACTCAATATCAACATGAACATAAATATAAATACACAAACAGCCATGTGCATTCATAAAACATTGATTTTCCTAGGTCTGATTAAATTTGTGTCATTGAAAATATGAAAATTGTCATTATATCTGAATAAGAATGTTTTTTGTGTGAAGAATGTGTCAACAAAATGGTTCTCCGCTGGGGCTCCCTAGTTTCACTTTCCAATTTTAACATTCTTATCTTTTTAAAAACTGATTTTGCTTTACACATGCGTAACCCATCTCCAGCTGAGGGTTAAAATGAAGGTTGGATTATTATGTATTCAAATGAGTTGAATTATTGACTTGCAAGCCAATAATACATTACCGATTTTGTTTTGAGCTCATTTTGATAAAATTGAATCAAACCGACTGCTAATAGTGAAATTCTACTTCACAATTCTGCTTTTATATATGATTGATACAAAGAAAATAATCGTTTTATTTATTTTTTTCATATTTTCCATGAATACTTTCATGAGCATCCTTTTCTTTCATTCTTAATCAATTTATCTAGAATTTATTTGATTTAATTTATTTTGGCAATTATCTAGCTTTGTTGGTGTATACATATTAAGGAAGATCCAAGTAAGCAATTACTTATATATTCAATTTCATATTAATTTTTGACTCCCCAAAGACATCAATGAGTTATTGTGAAAATAGTTGGGTTTAAACAACAGTAGTTGATAAATACAGAATGTTGGGAAATGTACTGGGGAAAATACAGTAAGTTATTATGTCACCCCTTTGGTAAGTGGGTATAAACGTTTTAACAGGCGCCAACCTTCACCCCAACCTGATATAGTAGTGTAACATTACAACGTAGAAAGACACACAATAAATCTAGGGGCTAGGATGAAAAATTTTGTCCTGCATTTTTAGCTCACCTGGCCCGAAGGGCCAAGTGAGCTTTTCTCATCACTTGGCGTCCGTCGTCCGGCGTCGGCGTTAACTTTTTACATTTTGAACTTCTTCTAGAGAACCACTGAATGGAATGAAACCAAACATGGCATGAATGTTCCTTATGAGGTGCTGACCAAGTGTTGTTACTTTGTAGCCGATCCATCATCCAAGATGGCCGCCAGCGGGGGACTTAGTTTAACATAGGACCCTATGGGAAATGCATACAAATGACTTCTTTTAGTGAACCACTGAATGGAATAAAACCAAACATGGCATGAATGTTCCTTATGAGGTGCTCACCAAGTGTTGTTACTTTGTAGCCGATCCATCATCCAAGATGGCCGCCAGCGGGGGACTTAGTTTAACATAGGACCCTATGGGAAATACATAAAAATGTCTTCTTTTAGAGAACCACTGAATGGAATGGAACCAAACATGGCATGAATGTTCCGTATGAGATGCTAACCAAGTGTTGTTACTTTGCAGTCGGTCCATCATCCAAGATGGCCGCCAGCGGGGGACTTAGTTTAACATAGGACCCTATGGGAAATACATACAAATGTCTTCTTTTAGAGAACCACTGAATGGAATGAAACCAAACATGGCATGAATGTTCCTTATGAGGTTCTGACCAAGTGTTGTTACTTTGTAGCCGATCCATCATCCAAGATGGCCGCCAGCGGGGGACTTAGTTTAACATAGGACCCTATGGGAAATACATACAAATGTCTTCTTTTAGTGAACCACTGAATGGAATGAAACCAAACATGGCATGAATCTTCCTTATGAGATGCTGACCAAGTGTTGTTACTTTGTAGCCGATCCATCATCCAAGATGGCCGCCAGCGGGGGACTTAGTTTTACATAGGACCCTTTGGGAAATACATAAAAATGTCTTCTTTTAGAGAACCACTGAATGGAATGGAACCAAACATGGCATGAATGTTCCTTATGAGATGTTGACCAAGTGTTGTTACTTTGCAGCCGATCCATCATCCAAGATGGCCGACAGCGGGGGACTTAGTTTAACATGAGACCCTATGGGAAATACATACAATTGTCTTCTTTTAGAGAACCACTGAATGGAATTGAACCAAACATGGCATGAATGTTCCTTATGAGTTGCTGACCAAGTGTTGTTACTTTGCAGTCGATCCATCATCCAAGATGGCCGCTAGGGGGGGGGGCTTAGTTTAACATAGGACCCTATGGGAAATACATACAAATGTCTTCTTTTAGAGTACCACTGAATGGAATGAAACCAAACATGGCATGAATGTTCCTTATGAAGTGCTGACCAAGTGTTGCTACTTTGTTGCCGATTTACTGTTCAAGATGGCCACCAGGATATTTTATTAAATAACAGGACCAATATTAATCAAAATTTGGCCTCAATCATTATTTGGGTATCTGTTATGATTTTTATCTATCTTTACATGATTTCTAAAACCAAAGTAGAGTCAGGTGAGCGACACAGGCTCTTGAGAGCCTCTAGTTTTTTAGTTGTAATCTCTGTCCTGCTTTTTTATTTTCTCTATTCGGTCCTGCCTTTTTTTTATTGATTTATCCTGACTTTTTTTACATGAATTGTCATCCTCCCTTTTTAGCTCACCTGGCCCAAAGGGCCAAGTGAGCTTTTCTCATCACTTGGCGTCCGTTCGTCGTCGTCGTCCGTCCTTTGTTAGCTTTTTACAAAAATCTTCTCCTCTGAAACCACTCGGCCAAATTTAATCAAACTTGGCCACAATCATCATTAGGGTGTCTAGTTTAAAAAATGTGTCCGATGACCCCGCCAACCAACCAAGATGGCCGCCATGGCTAAAAATAGAACATAGGGGTAAAATGTAGATTTTGGCTTATATCTCTGAAACCAAAGCATTTAGAGTAAATCTGACAAAGGGTAAAACTGATTATCAGGTCAAGATCTATCTGCACTGAAATTTTCAGACAAATCTGACAACCTGTTGTTGGGTTGCTGCACCTGAATTGGTAATTTTAAGGAAATTTTGCAGTTTTTGGTTATTATCTTGAATATTATTATAGATAGAGATAAACTGCTCAGCAAAGTAAGATCTACAAATAAGTTGTCATGACCAAAATTGTCAGTCGACCCCTTTAGGAGTTATTGCCCTTAATAGTCAATTTTTAACAATTTTTCGTAAATTTTTGTAATCTTTTACAAAAATCTTCTTCTTTGAAACTACTGTGACAAATTTAACCATTCTTGGCCATAATCATTATTAGGGTATCTAGTTTAAAAAATTTGTACGATGACCCCGCCTTCCAACCATCATGGCCGACTTGGTTAAAATTAGAACATAGGGGTAAAATGCAGTTTTTGGTTTATATCTCTGAAACTAAAGCATTTAGAGCAAATCTGACAGGTGGCAAAAATGTTCATCAGATTTAGATTTATCTGCCCTGAAATTTTCAGACGAATCCGACAACCTGTTGTTGGGTTGCTGCCCCTGAGTTAGTAATTTTACAAAATTTTGCAGTTTTTAGCTCACCTGGCCCAAAGGGCCAAGTGAGCTTTTCTCATCACTTGGCGTCCGTCGTCGTTAACTTTTACAAAAATCTTCTCCTCTGAAACTACTTGGCCAAATTTAACCAAACTTGGCCACACTAATCATTGGGGTGTCTAGTTTAAAAAATGTGTGCGGTGACCTGGCCAACCAACCAAGATGGCCGCCATAGCTAAAAATAGAATATAGGGGTAAAATGTAGATTTTGGCTTTTATCTCTGAAACCAAAGCAGTTAGAGCAAATCTGACAAGGGTAAAATTGTTTATCAGGTCAAGATCTATCTGCCCTGAAATTTTCAGATGAATCGGACAACCTGTTGTTGAGTTGCTGCCCCTGAATTGGTAATTTTAAGGAAATTTTTGCCGTTTTTGGTTATTATCTTGAATATTATTATAGATAGAGATAAAATGTAAACAGCAATAATGTTCAGCAAAGTAAGATCTACAAATAAGTCAACTTGACCAAAATAGTCAGTTGACCCCTTAAGGAGTTATTGCCCTTTATAGTCAATTTTTAACCATTTTTCGTAAATTTTTGTAATCTTTTACAAAAATCTTCTCCTCTGAAACTACTTAGACAAATTTAACCAAACTTGTCCACAACCATCATTAGGATATCTAGTTTAAAAAATGTGTCAGATGACCCTGCCTGCTAATGAAGATGGCGGACATGGCTAAAAAATAGTACATAGGGTAAAATGCAGTTTTTGGCTCATATCTCTGAAACCAAAGCATTTAGAGCAAATCTGATGAGAATAAAATTGTTCATTAGGTCAAGATCTATATGCCCTGAAATTTTCAGGCCAATCAGGCAACACATTGTTGGGTTGCTGCCCCTGAATTGGTAATTTTAAGAAAATTTTGCAGCTTTTGGTTATTAACTTGAATATTATTATAGATAGAGATAAACTGTAAACAGCAATAATGTACAGCAAAGTAAGATCTACAAATAAGTCAGCATGACCAAAATTGTCAATTGACCCCTTAAGGAGTTATTGCCCTTTATAGTCAATTTTTTACAATTTTCATAAATTTTGTATTTTTTGTAAATTTTTACAAAATATTTTCCACTGTAACTACTGGGCCAAGTTCATTATAGATAGAGATAATTGTAAGCAGCAAGAATGTTCAGTAAAGTAAGATCTACAAACACATCACCATCACCAAAACACAATTTTGTCATGAATCCATCTGTGTCCTTTGTTTAATATGCACATAGACCAAGGTGAGCGACACAGGCTCTTTAGAGCCTCTAGTTTGTTATTATCTTAGATATTATTATAATATCTAATACTATTAATTATGATTTTAACCTTATTTTACATGATTTCCAAAGCATCAGTAAATACAGGTGAGCGACACAGGCTCTTGAGAGCCTCTAGTTTTTTTTGCCAAGTTGCTCATCCTGCCTATTTTTTTTCTCAAAACTCCTGTCCTGCCTTTTTCAAATTTCATCCTAGCCCCCCATAAAAATCAAATGGTAGCTCCCTTACATCTAATTGTATCAATAAAAAGTCAATGATTTTCTTTAGTTTATTCAGGTTATGTTATATAACGTGTGTGCATGAAATATGTTTAAATATTTGTTACTAACCTGGTAATCAAATTGTAGGTTGCATTTCTGTAAATATAGACAATGCAATTTCCCATAGGAACTCCCTTTATGGCTAAAACTGTGCCACTTTTACTATGAAGTTTCGTTAAAAATTATATCCTAGAATGGAAAGCTGATATGCACTACTATTTTATTCAAAGTTCAAAACATAGGGCTGTGCGGCATATTTTCAACATTTATATGCCCTGAACTTGTTAGAGTTTAAACTTATACTAAAATTCTGTACTATCCCTACCTCCACTTTTGCCTACTTCAGAATTCAATTTTCACCGCAACAATAAGTTTTTATACTGGTAACAGTCCCAAGTTATGTCTCTATGAGATGAAACATAGAGATCATATCCGGGAACCAGTACATAAACAAATCAAGTTATCTATGAATACTATATATCTCCCCAAAAGAGGCGTGGTTTGAGAAACAGCTGTATTTACAAAGTGCAACCTGTAATGCTTCATTCAGACTTTCCTCTGCATCAGTTGTTTCTTTCTTCTGTAACTTAAGTCAAGCAAATGCAATGTGGTACATAGAAGTGGGTCCGCCCACTGGACTTAACAGCTCATGGGCGAAAGCTCTCTCTGTGAACTGTATTATTTCAAGGACAAGTTTTATTACTAAGTTATTGTTAAAAAAATAAATGCTTACCTCTATACACAGCATTGATCTACATATTTATTTTTGATTTTTGTATAAACTATAATAATATATATTGTTTTGATAATGGTTATGTCCAAGAAGGTGGGATAATTAAAAAAAATAAAATAAAACTGCAACAAATCATTATTGAATTCTATATATTGAGAATATCATATGGCTTTTTCAATATCGCATCGGTATCAACCTGAGACACCAATTAATCCCAAGAGCTCTGCTCTATTATATTGGTTGGGGGTTGATACAGTGTGTGATATTGAAAAAACCATATCATATACACTTAATATATACCTCAAGTAGATGTTTTTTTATATGACATGACATTATACATACTAGGGATTTGATAAACCCTTTGCAACAGTGACTGATATCGATGACGTGACGTCATACAGAATAAAGGTGTGATAAAGCCTTTGCAACCGTGACTGATATCGGTATCATCACAGATGGCTGATACAGCACGATTGCCATTGACTATATTACACATACAATTTATCTGTATTTACTACTAAGTATATAATAAAAATTTATATAGCAGCATTAGTTTGTTGAAAGAGAGAAACTTAAATAATATGTTTGATCCATATCATATAGAAATAAAAAGATGTGGTATGAGTGCCAATGAGACAACCCTCATCCAAGTCACAATGTGTAAAAAGTAAACAATTTTGGTCAAAGTACAACCTTCAACATGGAGCCTTGGCTCACACCGAACAGCAAGCTATAAAGGGCCCCAAAATGTCTAGTGTAAAACAATTCAAACAGGAAAACCAACGGTCTCATCTATATAAAAAATGAGAAACGAGAAACACTTATGAACCAAATCAACAGTCACCTGTTTTATCAGGCACCAACCAACCTTCACCCTACCTCAAACAGTAGTGTAACATTACAACATTGAAAGACACACTATAAAATATCAATTGAAATGGCTTAACTTGATCAAAAAGACATATTAACAAAAACAATTAAACATACACTGAACGAAAACAATGTCAAAAAGACAACTGTAACCTAGAACAAAATGGCTTTAAATAAAATAACATATCCAGAAATCAACGCCACTTTGCTTATTTGAATATTATACTAAAGAAATCGGATACGGGTCACGGAAATTATATTGAAATGATAGGGAATTTTGAAAAAAATGTCTGTTTTAACTTTAATTTAAGTGATAGACAGGTTGCCGGGACAGAAAATAAATATACACAACAATATACACCATTTAAATGAAACATAATGACTGTCATTGCAAAAATCAAGGTTCCTGAGCTATTTTAAAAATCGAAGCGAGAGGCTTTTAACATTGCAGTATAAAATACAGGCTAAAATGGCTGAAACGTCAAATTTGCAAACTTCGTGTTGAAAATTGGCTAACAAGGTCATTACAAAAACAGGTTGCCGGGTAGTCCAAATAATTATGACGTCTTGAAAGGCTATTATATTTTTTTTCTTTGACGCCTTACATCGACGTAAGGCGTCAAAGAAAAAAAATATAATAGCCTTTCAAGACGTCATAATTATTTGGACTAGTTGCCGGGATGAAACTTGAAACTTGAATGTCCAAAGAATAAGCAAGTCCAAACCTTGTATGTGTAGTCGTTGAACTCTAGGTTCCCACGTAAAGTTAAAATGCCCCTATTTCAAGAAGAATAAACTCACGAAAACACGAAAAATTCACTAAATTCGCGTTCATTGTTTTGATTTTGACCGCCTGACAACTTTACGGAAATATCAGAGTGATTATAAACAAGGACTCTGTGACGGGCAACTTATAATATCCGTGTTTTAATGATATCAAGCCAGTCCAGTTCAAACTATTATCACGTGGTACAATTCTCATTTACATATTATGAATATTAATTAGCAAAAGTACTACTAATTTCTGGCTATGATGTACACAGGTAAATTTAAATATAATAATTTTGTTGTTAGGAGTAAGGAAATATTTTTACAAAATAAATAAATTTGTTGTCCATAATACGAGAACAGAGGTGAAAATTTTTCGTCATACTAAATACTTATCATAGGTGGTACATATTAAAAATAGTAAGACGAGACATAACACAAAATAAGTGAACATTGAATAACAAAAATTCATTATGAATTGTGTCAACAAGTCAAATTAACACGAAAGTATGTTTGAGAGTACTCGCAATTACTGAAAGCTAGTTAAAAGCCATGAACAATTAATAATAAAAAATCATGCATCAGAGACTAAAATCAATTAAAACACATCCCAGGGATTTAGTGTTTTAATGCCATGGACAGTCAAAGAAGACATGACTTGTGCAATGCCAAAACAAAGGTATCAACAGGCAGTAGGATAGTTAGGATTTAACCTTATAATAAATATGTATCATGTTATATGTAGATAAAGCAATGTTTAGTAGTATAGAAAATAAACGTGGATGTGTATTTATGCATCCCAAAAAACCATTCTAAAAGAATACAAATTTTGTTGTGGTTTAATTTGTTGATGACAAAATCAATATTTGTGCCAATGTAAACAATATTCAGAGATCTTTTTACAACATTAATAATATAACCTTTACTAATAAGTTTGTTCAAAGGTTAATGAGTTTACACGGATCACATAGTGATTTCCGCACTTTAAGTACAATATTACCGTAAAATTTAGGATGTGAAATACCGTTTAGTAACTTTTCTACAGGTACAGCCAAATTTACTAATCAAATCTTTGTATCTATGAAATAATTTATTAAAAGTTTTAAGTAATTTATGGTAACAACATCCCTGACTTAATAATTTACCAGTGATGGATTGATTATTTTAGTTAAAATCTATGACATCCATACACGCATGGGCATAACGAACAAGTTGGGATATATAAACACCGTATGATGGAGCCAAAGGAACATCGCCATCTAAAAAAGGAAAATTAACAATAGGGAATGAAAAATTGTCTCTTTTGTCGTAAATTCTAGTATGGAGTTTCCCTTTAGAAATTGAAATGTCTAAATCTAGATAAGGAAGATGATACTAATTTGAAATTTAAATAGTGTATGTATTTAATTTTATAACTGAGCTAACCCAAATATCAGTGGTTAAAATGTGTACTCATTTAAATGCTTTGGCCAATATCATGCATAGTTTACAAAATCAATATTCAAAGGGAGCT